CTAGAAAAGACACTGTTACAAGGCACAGCTGGCTGATCCTCCACTGTATGTGCAGATGTCCGGTGTATCTTTGGCACCTAAACTGTATGCTGGAGAGATCTGTGCCCTAATTTGACCTGAAGCAGGCATCCTAACAAAGAGAAATGTTAAAATGCAAAGACAGCAGGCAGAGATAAATTATTTGGGAAATCAGATGAGAAAGGGTGGAGAGAAAGGAACTTTAAAGCAGTGGGTAAAGGCTTAGCGATATTATTCCTGATACTGTTACTAACAGCTACAGACATACATACCCATGTGTCATTTTAAGCACAGACGCACATCACATCAATGACTCGCCTTGGAAGCTCTGAAGGTTGCACTGATAATTTGCCAGCTGCCTAAAAAACTGCACCTAATTTGCACCAAAACACGCAAGATGCTTAAAACAAAATATTCAGGAGGCCATCATGCTTGTTCGTATGTGACTCTCTCAAAATGAATGGTAATTGTTTCTCTTTTGGGGTTCAATGGTAAAAGAAATCCACTGCTGATGTCTTCCTCCCAAAGTATCTCTGTTGTTTGTACAAACCAGTTTCTGCAGACACAGATGTGACCTCCTGAAGATGTATATAACTTCCCAAGTATCTGCTACTACAGTAGTGGCACGTGCCATCTCAGCTCTGATCCTGCCTCAATTATCAGTCAGAAGGATAACAACCGTAATGAAAAAATCCTAACCCATGAGCACCAAACCTCCAAGTCCTTGTGAAAAGCCGTGTCCTCTGCTCAGACTGCAAGGTTTCGAGGTCAGCAGGCACCACTGCCACTCTGCTGAGCTCTACAAACCACTCTGACCCAAAACTGTGCCGGGGAAGATGACCCAGATTCTAAAAAAATTACTAACACCCTGTTCATAATGTGTGAATACTCTTCTCTGTGTCCATATATTGGGCACACGCTGACTGTCTTCAGGTATAGCCAGACATGCACACCGCAGAGTTCACAGTTTTTTCAAGTTTGAGGCATGTTGTACATACACACTTTACTTTTATTTTTCAATCACAAGAGAATTCACTTCACTGACATCGCTTGGCAGCATATGGTGCTGCCAGACAGAGGAAGGACCTGCACAGAACTGTAACAGCTTTGTTGCTTTCCTCCATGCCCCAATGATATGAAACACAACCTGGTAACATCATTAGCTGTTTCCATGTGAATGCCATGATACCCAGACAGTGTTAAAAAAACCCAAAAAACAACACCCTAAAAAAAATGTATGCGCGTGTGGCAGGGGGAATAAGTGATTGTGACATAGTCTGAAACACAAACATAACATCTGGAAGCACTCTTCCCAAGTCTGCCTCTTTATCAGACAGATGGCTGGAGAGCTGTAAGCCCACGGGCCTCTCAAAAGGTTCAAGGCCAAGAGGATAAAGTGCTACATCACAGCAGTTTTCCATTATGTCAGTTTTTCTAAATGTCTCTCTGTTCTCCCACACTCAGTTTCTCTACCCAGTTGACAGAAATCAAAAGCACGGGGTGACTCCATTCCTCTGCAAATAAAGTACAACATCCGTGGGCAGAAACATCAGCCCAAGAACAGACTGAAGGCAGCCTGCTCCAGCCCACTTCCAGGCTTGAAGGAGCAAGTGGAGTTAGGCCTAGATTAGCCCAAGTCGCTGCTTCTTAGTTCTTGACACCACAGTTATCAGATGTTCTGGCTTTGGCAGAGAAGGCAGCTTAAGAAATTCCCCTAACCCTCCTTGCTCCTACCCTAAATCCATCTTTCTCATCCCCACTGCTGACAGCATACCAGCTGGTGGAGGTATGCTATAAAAACAACAACAAAAAAAGATGATGAAAATTACTTAGGTTAAAAATAACCCTTGCTATGTCTTGGAACAGCTCTTATACCCTGTGGTGGCAACCCAGAATAAACTACACAGCAAATATGAGCCCTTTCACTGAAGCTGTTCTCAGGGTAGACGTGGTACATCATAAATCAACCACACAAGCCTTAGGCTGCAACCAGAGGCAAGACTAAGATATGGAAATGGTTATAAAAGTAACCAAAAATACCTCTTCATCTACCCTGAGGACACATTAAAAACTTACCAGCTTTCCTCCAGAAACGAGAAACAACAAGGCAAAACAAGTGACCAAGCAGTAGTCTAAGACTTGTTTTCACTAATCAACGCTGTTGTTATCCTCATCAATAGCTGCTTGAATCTCAGCACAAATTGCATTATGAGGCACACAAACATTGCTGATTTCAAGCTATTTTCAGATACTTGCTATAGTGGCAAAGTCTTTCTGAATAAATCTAAGTTAAGAAGCTATGGTTCTTGGCTTTAGCAGCACAAATTGAACGAGAACAAATATTACTTAAAAATAAAAAACTGTGACCTACTTAAATTCTCAAAATGTACTGGTATACAATTATTGATGTATCTAAAATAAGGCCCTTGTTTTTTGTTATTTGTATGATGTGAAAGGTATATCAGCTGATAAGTGGTGTTGCATTCAGATATAAACTGCTTGTTTCGAGAGTGCTTACGATGTAATTATGTCCATACACTAATGACAGTAGAAATACGCAAGAAAAGAAAAGGAACAGGGCAACAAAAACGAGTAGTTTCATTGAGCACGGACATTTGTTTCCAGGTATATGAAGGGTTTTTTTCTGGTTCTCCATGGTGCATCAGGGAAATTCTTGAATAAATGAGAGCACACAGAGAAAGGCCACAGGTTCCTCTTCACATGCCTAACAACTCAACACATCGCTCTCCCCATTATGACCAGAATGAATCTGGATGCAGTTTTATTCGGCTACCACAAAATAGTTTGTGGGAGGCAGCACTCCAGTGCACTGAAAATCTACCATGAATTTAAGTAATACTCTGACTTACTTCACAGCCAGCTGGGGACATGTGGCAATCCAAGGGGAGAGCCAAATTACTCCTGTTGATTGCAATAAGAGCAGTAAGGCACAACTGTAGAAGACCCTTCATTCTCCTTTCCTGCTAGCTGATTCTCTGAACTGTGCTAGAAATGGTCAAGTAAAGAAAAATAACATACTATCATCTTCCTGACAAGCTGAGTCTATGTTCAGAAAGCATCCAAGAACTACAAACTTTCATTTACTTGTTTTTTCAGAAGCTCTTTTGCAAAGACAGTGGAAAACAACTCTCTCTGCTTAAATTAACCAACACATTTATGAGTTGGCTGAGTTTTCTGCAAGAGAAGATTAGCCTGTGTTGATGCTGGGACTCCAGAACACTACCTCACATCTGCACTGACCTTGCTACAGAACTGCACATCACCCAAATGAACTGCATTGCTAAACTAGCCTGAAAAAGCTGGTGGCATCACAGAAAGATCCCATTACGGACTTGCAATTCTCAACCAAGTTAAATTAGCTTAATAGAATATTTGTGCTCTGCGCAAGGGGCTCCAAGTGACACTTAGAAACTCAGCAACTGTAATGCCCACTACATTGCATACTTTCCCACTGGGATCTCCGTACGCCCAGGTTTCCCTATCCAGCTCTTCCTTGTACACAAACATTTCATTCAAACCTGGGTTCGTCATGCTTTCAGAAGATAGCAACTATTTACATACACAAATGAAAGAGGCATTAATTAAAACATTGACTTTTATTTGCATAATTAGTGCTAAAAATATTTTTATGGGTTAATTAGACTTTATGCAAATTGGATTGAGAAGATTTAACTTGGGGTTTGATAACCCGACTATTATAGTTCTACAGTTACATGCTGTTCTAAAGCCATGTCTTCCCTTTCAAACTGTTTTGTTTTTTACTTCTGGCAGCCTCAAATGTTGTTTTTCTATTGCCCCCCCCCCCCCCCCCCCCCAAACTCTTCACTGAAAATCTCACTAACTGGAATGATATCAAGTGTAAATATATTGAATCAGTGAGCTGCTCATGACAAGAAAAATTTCCGCACTTTACAGAAGTCTAATATTTCCCAGGGACTCTGACTGGGCACGGAATATAAATGTTAAAATCTGCTCAGGTTTTCTGTGCCTGAAGATAGTACAAACCGACTGCATGGGAAAGCAATAACCAACCCAGCATCCACCAAAGATTTTATGATACTCTTCAATGCGCCCAGGTTCGAGGCTAATAATAAGTGCAGGGAAGCATTGCTCAGATCTATACAATGAAAACGCTCTGTGTGGACTAATGTACAGCAGTGTTGTGAGAATTCATTAAGATGATACCCAGCAAGAGCAAAATAATTTCCACTGAAAGCAGCATTATACAACTTTATTATGTGTTGCAGAAGACAATCATACTTACTGAAAAAGCACTGCTTTTATGTCTGTGGAATAACTAGACCAAGTCTCAGTAAAAACATATTAAACAGGAAAGCGGCACTGGCAGACCAGTTCATACCAGTGCTCCCTGCGTGCACTGCTCTGCCTCTGACAGTTACCAGTGTATGGCTTAGCACAGGACCCCCAAGTTCTGGAAGAAGTAACTGTTTGCAAAAGGGGATTCTTCTGTATTACATAAAAGACACTGAATACTGAAAGGTTTGAATTATCCTGTATCGATGCTTGAAAGTTATAGCGGTTCACTGTGGAAGAATTCATTGCTTGCTTGATGAACCAACCACAGAAGCTATGATATGTTCAGAGAAACAAGGTCAAAACCATCAAGCCAAAAAATTATGTTCGGTAAAAACCTTTAGAATTAAGGATATTCATATTCATGCCAAAATGACAGCCCCCCACCCCCCCCCCCCTCCCCTGCCAATGTAGGCCTATTCTATTAATTTTTTTAATTTAAACTGATGAATTTTATTACCTGGAAACTGAGATGCCCTGGTATAGATCAGCAGATGGTACCGTAGTTATCATAAGTGTCTCCAGATTTCCAGGCTACAGGTTTAATAGCTATGAGCAGTGGTAATATGAGCCCTAAGCCTTTCAACCAATGAATGGTATCATGGATATAAATGAATTTAATGTGCTGAGAATATGAGGTTTCATACCTGTTCCTTGAACTTGGTGCTATCCTCTGACAAATAACTGTTGTGGTCGAATGCTTTCCACCATTCCCCACCTCTTGTTTCACGTCCCACTGCTGGGGGTCACTTGTCTTTGCACTTAGAATGTTTACCCCTTTCTTCACCTTTGCCCTGTTGGAAACAGCAATTGTAAAAAGTTTAAGAGTCATTCAGGACTGTGATCTTCCAAATGTAGCTCAGGCATGGAAATCTCAATACCTCAGTTTTAAGCTAAGTATTAGATATGTTTCTAATCCGTCAGTGTGGCATAATGAATGCAGATCTAAGGCTACATATCACTTTTTTGGACAGAACCAGCTAACCGTGTGCCTTTATCTGTTCTGCCAACAGCAGGCTGGAGCTATGAATAAGACTGAACCTGTAGGAAAACCCGCAGTAAAAGTTGTTTCTGTATTCTGGCAATAATTTTTCCCAAAGAGAAATTTATCCCAACACAGAAGTCTCAGAGAGGTTCTGTTCATCTGCATCAAGACAAACTTGTGCCTCATCACTGCACAGAGGTAAACTTCAGCAGAGTTTTTTAAATAACCTGGTTTTATTCCGTATGGTATTCTTCTAGATATCAGTAGACAGGCTGTTGCTCTTCTGCCTGACAATTCCCTCTTTGTGACAGATTCCCAAGGAAACTTCTGTTCAAAATCTCCAGCCTGGAGAGAATACAGCTGTTGGTTAAGACAAGACTTTGCAACTCAGAGATGTTCTTACAGGATGGAAGTTTCTGCCACTGTTAGTTGTTACAATTTGTGAAAAAGTTAACTGTATTTATCTAGTGATGCCAATAACATCAGCAATAATTGTATGGAGGGTTAATTAAAGAGCACTTGCTTAATTAAGGAGCATTTGTACAAAGAACTCCCAGCAAAGATGCTATTTAGGTGCAGAATATTTAACTGCTGATCTTCAGTTCTATTTATTACAAAGCACCAGGAATAAGAAATAGAGATACTTATACAGCCTTTCTCTTCAAAAGACACTGAGGGACAAAATTCCACCAGCCCACTGGACTCACTCAAGATGATGAGTATGTGGGGAGCAGGATGCCAGTTAGAATTACATGGCTCTGTGCGTAGCTTGGCCTCAGCACTGGATGGAGAAGGCAAAGGGCTGCTTAGCTGCACACCACCAGAGTATGCTCATCGTGGCCTCTACTCAGCAGGCTCTAGCTTCACCATAGCAAAGAGGCTAAAGCACGGTGAAAATGTCTTTTTCTAAAATACTTATGCAACACAAAATTTTAGTTATTGAGCAGCAATCATTTAACAAGATGTTGATATCTTCTTGACATTTATGAGGACTCAGCACCTAAGTTCCTTGGAAAAACTGGGGGGTTTGCATCTTTAGACACTAAAACACTTTAAAAACGTAGTCATGAATGACTGAGAGTACTTGTTTTCTTGTTGCAGTTTTTCAACAGTGAGACAAAACACGATTTAAGGCATTGAAAAAGAAAACTTTTTTTTTCCTTAGTATAAAAGCATAAGTGCTTAATTCTCTTATTTGTAACATGGAACACCATGAAGCTTCAGATTCCTGTCTTGCTCTAGTAAAACTGGCACAAACCGGATGCATCTCTAATGCCTTCAATTGAATTACTCAGAAAAGGGAGAATCAAATCCGTTACTGAAGGTTCATTAAGGCTCTAAGTCCCATTAAGTTTTCCAGCATATTACAGTTCAAATAAATGAACAATAAAGAAATATCTCATTAATAAGAAAACACTACCACCAATCTTGAACTCTGTATAAATCAGTCAGTACATTTTTGGCAGTATGTATTTTAGGAGATGTTTGGATGTATTTTAGGATACTGTTATTTAGCAACTGGAAAGAAGTAAAAATCGATCATTTAGATAATTTGTTCAGCTGTTCCTTGAGATGGGCCCTCAAATGGCATAATGTCAGTCAAAATGAGGGTCCTCATGTTTGGATTTTCAACAGACTTACAACTTTGTCAGCAGCTGCAAATTGCTCTTTCTACCATGTAGCTTGACATAGTCAATACCTGGGCTTCTGTTAATTAGGACGGACATTTTGTATGGCCAAGGTTAGTGGTAAAATACATTGCCAGAGGACGAAAGACCATGGTGACAATGCCATTTTGTTAATTAACCACAGTAAGGGGCATTAAGTTGAGTGGTTTCCATATATGCCATTATATAAAGCCCATTAAAAAAAATATTCCATCCCAGGGTAAAGTAGGTTATGTTTAGTGAGAAAAATCAATGTTGTGATTGCACTTAGCTCTGGAATTAGAGTATGAACACCCAGAAGATTGAACTTCCTAAATAAATATGCAGAAGCACAGTTTGCAACTCTCCCTCTACAAAGGGCATTGAGTTTTATATAACAAGGTCAATGGATGAATCAGAATTAAGTCAGACAGTACTGAGCCCCATACATTTTTAAATGCAGTCTGTACGCATATGCTACAAATGTTTTCACTTAAAATTTTTATTTACTTAGTGTTTGAGTGCTAGCAAGGAAAAGTCTCTTTAATTCCTTACCAAAGATTCGTTGACCTTGTTGTATGCTTCTGATTAAATATTAATTTTTTAAATCAATAGTGCCAACTTTGTACATAAAAAATTGTAAGTTATACTACCTCAATAAACCCCGAGACCGAGGACCTGGAGGCCAAACTACTTGACCATCTTCTGTATTTGCCCACCTAATCTATGCAGTATATATACATTTACCATGTTTACTTAAGGGAGGCAGGTACGGTGACAATAGACAGAGATGACAAACAGCTGAAGTACTCCAGGTTTCCTTAGTGTGTGCTCGCCCACTCCAACTGGAAAATTCTCCCCTTTGCCATCTCTGCTTACTCATGAATAGATGGTTGTCCTCACATAAAGGCTTTTCTGCACAGCCCTACAACCTGAAAGCAACCCCCAGCCATAACTTGTCAGCTTCGACTTCCACCCAAAGTGGAGTCAAAATTTTCCCCTCCAAAATTCTAGCCAATTATTGCGTTTACTGTAGGTGTCAATAAACGGCCCCTGTCGCTCCAGCTGTGTGCTTTCCCCAGCAGCAGTAACTAAACCAAAGCCCCAAGTCTGCTGCCCAGTAACAAAAATCACCCTTTCCTTCTTCTGGATCTAAACACAGACCCTGCTAAGCAAATCACCTACATATGCACAAAACCTATGGGCAGCAGCTCATTTATCTGAGTTTGATTGTCTATGTACTGAAAGTTAAGCATAGTTTTTGATCTTTTGACAAAAGCAGACCTTGCGATGGAAAGATGGAAGACCGACCATCATTAAGAACAGTGCAGAATACCAGAGGTCAGCTTCAATCCCAGAGTGGATTGAGGGTACCATCTGAACGGGGTTTTGAAGCTTTACGAACACATGGTAGCCAGAACAGTGAAAGACTTTCTTGCTTGAACTTCTAAGGTTATTAATTCATAGCACAGGAAATCTCTGCCTCAGCTTTATCTCAAAATAACTGTCTCTCTTTAAATCTCTCAAATAGAGAATTAAAACATTTTGCTGGCATGCAGAACGAGCATCTCAAAGACGTTACAGAAAAAGTTTCCAGCAGCTTACCTAGAAATCATTACTTAATTTTTGTTGAGACCAAGTAAAATAATTTACTTACACAACCTCACAGAAAATGCGCTCGTATAAATGTGCAATTTCCAAGCAAATATTTCATTTCCAAATTGAAGCTTTTAGTTGTATACAAAATTTCCATTTAGAACCTTATCTTCCTAACATGTCAAACTTAGAAATGATGCTTCTAATTAATACATTCTGATCAACTGCAGATGAAAATTAAGCTCTTCCATTTCACCATCCTCAAATTACACGAAATCTCAGCAGTATTTAGACATAATGCTATATAGCCAATAAAGACCATCACTGAAAGTCAGAGCTGAAGATGTGACTTAGGATTTCAGGAGCCCAAATTACAGTTTCCTATTTAAATTTAAATTTTAGTCTTGCAAAACTGCTATGGCCATGGAAGGGTTCTGCCACCTGCAGCAGTGCTGTTGGGAGGGCAGACTGCCAAGCACTCCACACAGTTCTTCACATGCTGTATGAGGTTGCTGACGTAGGCTAATCCTAGAGAGCATCACCTCTCTTATTCCAGAGAAAGTCATCCTCAAAGCACAGATCCAAGTGGGGCTGCATTGCCTGGGTGTGCTGTGCTGCAGAGAAGTAATCTACTAACAAAGGAAGAATCTGAAGTTACAGGTGGGCTAACACCACGCGAAGCTGATTAGGAGTCCCTGGCTGTACAGGTCCCTAAATTCCCTTTGGCCTGGCACCAACATCCAGCTGACTCACCGGCAAGCTAAATTGGTAGTGTTTATCAGGGGATGATTTAGCATCCTGGATGGCTCACTGCAAGATCAGATAAGCAGCAATGTCATTGCCAGGGAGGGGCAGAAGCATGAAACAAGGAGTGGAGGGGGGACCAGGGCAATACCCTCAGCAGCAGCAGGTACCTCTTAGGTGGGGTTAGCAGTATTGTCAAACTGCGCTCCAGCAGAAAGTTTACACAGCAGCTTAGGTAGACAAGGCTGCACTAAAGAATAAAAAGCTAAATCAATACTAAATTCCTATAATCAGTGAGCTTCATAATACCTAGAATAGTTTTCCAGACTTTAAACCTTCTGGTTCCTGTCAGATTGTTTGTTTTCAGAGGGTTATACTTAGCCCTGCATCTTCTGTGCTCCTCATAAATGCCATGCTATTCTCGGCGTGCTGTACTTTGATCTGAGAGCAGTCTGGTTTTAGATCAGTGACCACTGCTTTGTACAGACAGTCTCTTCAGCTCACATCTGTTGTCCAAGCTGCTGTGCTGGAAGACTTTTCTTTAGGAAATATTCAAAACGTAAATATTAGAGTCAGATGCAGATTCAGTCTAACCAGGGGGATCGGCTCATCTACAAGGTAGTCCCTGGGTCACAGAAGCCGAGCGTGGGCAGGCTGTACCTCACCATGCTGGGCAAGGGAGAGGGTGCTCGTGCTAAATCCTGGGCATTTCCACGAGTAAATCCTCGTCTGATTATATTTGTCAAATTGGTGTTTCAACTTAACAAATACTGACCCCTTTTGGTCAGTCTTCTCTGGAGCCTCAATGTTTCTTGCAACTCTT